AAAATATTATTAGTGAAAAACATTGATGTGGTTTTATGATTTAAGATTAAAGAAAGTTTCTACTTAGATTGATTTATTTATATTTGATTTGATGGGTTTAAACTTTAACATTTTTTTGTTTTACATGTATGATTTTTGTAATTATATTTGGATCCCCATAAAAGGGGTGCAAGAAGTAAAATCCTAATTTTTTTAACAGTTTGCAATCAAATGGACATGTTAATGACAGACTATAGGAGCATATCATTTTGGGCTCTACAATTTAGTAAATGTGTAATTTTAATCTCTATAATTTTGGAAATGTGTAAGTTTGATTCTTACTAAGAAAAGTAGAATGATTCTATTTCAAAGAAATAAATGTAGAATTCTAAATTCAGTATTAAAATAAAAGAAATACAAAGAAAAGATAAATATAAAAAAAAAAATACTTACCACTAGTTGATTCCATACGTGAAATTACATTTTAAATTATGGGAGATAAAAAATAATCATCTTGGGAGAATGAATCATTTAAAAAAAAACATTCTCATTTATATCAAATTTTATTATTTATTTGAGGTATTTATATCAGTTTATAATTTGTTCTTCTTTCCTTTTGTATACAACAAAATAAAAATAAATTATTCATTTTTTTTCTTTGAATTATTCTCTATAGCAAACAATTTTAGAAATTATCTTATCTTTTTTACCTTTTTTTCTTCTTATTGTTTCTTCCTTTCTGTATCGAGTTTCTTTTCCACCACCAGTATTATGAAAAAAAACCATTATTCCACCAACCGAACATGGCATATGGTCGAAACTTAAGGTCACAAGAAACAGTTAAGTGTTGCTAACAAGAAAAGCTATATTGCGAGTTTGTATGTAGTTACCTTACAATGATATTCTTTTGTTTTTTTTTAATTTTTTACTCTTAAAGTTCTAAGGTTTTTTTAATTTCTACAACCTTATCAAAATTTGGAAGACTTTTCATTATAAAAATTTGTGTACGTGGTCTTGGTTATTTTTTTATATTTTGTGGGTTTCAAACTTCATAATATACACGTGTATCCATTTTAAAAAACATCATGCATCTTTTGTCACAAAGTATAATATAATTATTTTAATCAAATCACTATAAGATGATCTTAATTAAATCACTATAATGCCCATTATTTTACACTATATAAAGTGATATTTTAGAAACATAAATAATGGCAAATGAAATTGTCATAAATGTTTTATTGAAAAATAATTTTCATGTTAACGCATTGAAATGTAATTGTCATAAATCTATATTTTAATGAAATTTATGATTGTCGTTATTCCAATAACTTCTTATACGTAATCCTAATTTCTAAATGTAATTGGAATATTATATTATTTAGAACATTTTCGTAATTTAATAAATTGTGTTTTTGATAATGACAAATAAAAAAATATAACAAATTATAACATTATAAAAAAAATTAAAGAATTTCATTAATGCATTGGACAATTACATCAATTACATCAATGTAGCAAAATGTTTTAAAAGAAACATAAAGTAGTGATATTATAATAAATAGTTCTAAATTTAGACTCTTTATCTAATCTATCTTATTCTCACATGAGCCTCTTATGTAATTTAAGGATGATACACCTCTGCCCTTCAAATAAATTAAAATAGCAATATAAGAAATTAAAGTAATTTTCTTAAAAAAAATATACTTTGACCATTCATAAATATTTTATAATTGATATTATTTTTTTTATATTTTTTTTCTTTTTTTCCTTAAAAAAATATAAAAATTTACTTTTTTTTTATATCATGTGTCAAATAAATATAAAAATATGTCACCTACTATTTTTTTTATGAATCTTTAATCAAATATGGCATCAAGCTTTATGTCATGGTTAAAGCACGAACATCAAGGTGTCCAAAATCCAAGTGCTGTTACGTCTATCTTAATTTCTTCCTCTTGTTTCTTTTCTTTTTTCATATAAGTTGTCCCTTTTGTGCAGTAAAACTGGTATGGTTGAAAAGTGTGCTTGTTGAAGAAGCTCGTAGTTTCATTTCTCGTGCAAGATTGTGTTTGTAACCAACGTACTTTCTTACTAGTATATTTAACTTTAGTCAGGTTTTTGGTTTTGGGAAATGTAAAAAACAGACTAAGAAAAAGGCCATTTATTTGCTTATCAAATCATAGTTCATGTATATGCTGAAAATAACTGCATCCAGCCACACCACATAACTTGCTATCAGCAGCTCTCTTTGATTATGTTTTAACAGATATCTTGAAGCTCAAGACATGATCATAATAATTTTATTGATACTTCTGCAACATTAAGATCTTACAGCTAAGAACGATTATGCTACCTGCTTCTAATTAAAAATTGCACCACCTCAACTTGTCAATTTTTGTTACTCTTAGAAGCAAGCGTTACAGTGATATGCAGTAAGAAGTAGACTTTAAATCTGTTATCACTGATATAAATACATATTATCAAATAATGTTCATCAATATAATTATAAATATGATCATATATATATACAAAAATTAAAAGTATATCTCTTAATCAATAGTAAAATAACTAGTCATAAGATAATATTTCAATATAATAATTATTGAGATTTGATGTCTATTTTGACGAGTGCATCTTAACTAACAAGTTCAGACATTTATAAGATTGTCGGAACTGCAACCTTGGAAAACCAGTCCCACTGCATGCATCAGGCGGCTATTGCTCAGAATATCAGTTCCCAATACTATAATACCCCTTTTTAAAAGCCTTTCCACTACCCCTTTCTCTCTCTGAAGAGAAACTGAAAAGCATCATGGCGCATGCGAGTTATATCTTGATTTCCTTTCTTCTGGTTGTGGTGTTGAATGTGGCAAAAGGGCAGCCTCTGGTTCCTGCATTGTTCATATTTGGGGACTCTGTGGTTGATGTGGGCAATAATAACGACTTATTAACCATTGTTAAAGCAAACTTCCCTCCTTATGGAAGAGACTTCAGTAATCACAGTTCAACAGGGAGGTTTTGCAATGGGAAGCTTGCAACAGACTACACAGGTATTGCTCAAAATCACCCTTTAATGAAACACCATTTTCTCACCCCACATCATCGTTTTGCATGCTTGATCTTTATTTTGTTCACTGCAGCTGAAAACCTTGGATTTACCTCCTACCCACCAGCTTACCTCAACTTAAATGTTAAAGGAAGAAATCTCTTGAACGGTGCCAACTTTGCCTCAGCTGCTTCTGGCTACTATGATCCCACAGCTCAGCTTTATGTAAATATACACTTGCAAGTTTAAAAATCTTTTTTTTTTTTTACTTCTCATGATTATTCATAAAGCCTAATATAGGAATGTGTGTTTTTTCTTTTATTTGTTTCCTTTTGAACTAGCATACAATTCCATTGAGCCAACAGCTGGAACACTACAAAGAGAGCCAGAACATTTTGGTGGGAATAGTAGGGCAGTCGAATGCTTCGTTAATTGTATCTGGTGCTATACATCTTGTCAGCGCTGGAAACAGTGATTTTATTCAGAACTATTATATAAATCCACTGCTTTACAAACTTTACTCTGCTGATCAATTCTCAGATATTCTCATGCAACACTACTCCACTTTCATTCAGGCATGTCTCTGTCAACCTTAACAAACCACGTTGCACTTAAAGAAGGGTTTCCAATGATAAGAAGTTAAAAAAGAACCAAAAAGGCTATTTGTTTTTGTTTGCTGATTTTTACTTACATTTCCAAATTTCAAATATACCTGCAACAGAATTTGTATGCACTTGGAGCAAGGAGAATTGGCGTCACGACGTTACCTCCTATGGGTTGTTTGCCAGCAGCCATCACTCTCTTTGGTTCTGGTAGCAACGAATGTGTGGTTAGACTAAACACTGATGCTGTTAACTTCAATAAGAAGCTAAACACTACGTCTCAAAGCTTGCAAAAATCGCTTTCTGGTCTGAAATTGGTCATCCTTGATATCTATCAACCTCTGTATGACCTTGTCACTAAGCCTTCTGAAAATGGTACACTTTCTAAGTTTCTAACTCTGCTAAGCCCAGAAAGCAATCGTATCATGCATCACTCATGAACTAGTTTTCTTTTTTTATCACAGGGTTTTCTGAAGCAAGGAAGGCTTGTTGTGGAACAGGGTTGCTAGAGACATCTATATTGTGCAATAAAGAATCCATAGGAACGTGTGCCAATGCATCTGAATATGTGTTCTGGGATGGTTTTCATCCCTCTGAGGCTGCAAACAAGGTTTTGTCCGGTGAATTGTTGGCTGCTGGCATCTCTCTCATATCCTAATCCCGCGTCATATCTACTTTGGATGCATATTTTTAAGAATTGTGAGGTTATTGTTGTATTAGATTACAATGTTCATTCTGTGTTTTCAAGTTTCGTGTAATAAAACCAATATTCTAATGAGTTTTCGTGCAAGACTTCTACCGAGTATTCAAAGATGCTTGTCTTCAGTTCAATTATTTAAGTTTAGTATAATGTGACAGATAAACTCAGATTAGTCACACTATAAGTTAAATCAATGCAGTGAAAATAGGAAATGATTAATTTTCACATTTAATTCCTACCATTTGTTATTTATTATAAAATCACATGCGGTGAGGCTCTTGAGTGAGAGATTCATTGGGTCGTTAAGGCTGCCAATTTACATATAGACTCACTTTATAATAGTAATATAATGTCCGCTTATATTTAAGACAATTTATATAACGTCTTCTTATATGGTTTTCTTTTCTGCAATTATACAAAAATGGAGTTTTACCTAAAAGTGCTTAACAAAAAGTTTACGTCAGAAATCAGCATTAATTATTGATGTAAAAGTTCTATGGGTATTTTTAGTTTTATTTAGAAATCAAAATTAGAGTTTTCTTAAAGATTAACACAGTTTATCAAGTTGAATGGTCAAATTTTGATTAGAAAGTAACATAAAAAAAATTCTAATAAACTAAAATTAATACTCCAAAAAGCCAGTTGTAAAACTCCTCCGACTACCAATAGCTTCTAAAAAGATGAGCGGACAGCGCTAAAATTTGTACCATAAATAACTAAATGTAATTTACAAAATAGCATCGACAGGTGCAGAGCCTTCAAATTTTGTCCAGACAGCTGTAGCTTACACGATACATCAATTGCAATTGAAGAATTTATGACAGCAATCCAACAATCTTTTTACATCTGTCTCACTGACAGGAACTTCAGCATTCCGATTATTCTTGGCATTCTCTTCTTTTGCAGTCCAGTTATTCAGAATACTGATGATCATCCCAAGCTAATGATTGCTATGGTAAAGTGAAACAACAAATAAATGGCAAAGCAGGCATGTGGATAAATAAGCATGTGAACCTAACTGTCAGTAGCTGTGATTGGCATTGTAGTTAGACACATTTGGATGTCTAGATAGAGGTTTAAAGGTCAAATGGTACAAAATTAAAGACAAACAATCTAAATATGAAAAGTTCTTGAGTGTTTTTGTTCCCTGCTGAAGAATTGTCCGTTGGAAATTTTATTGACACTGTAAATCACTAACACCATGAGTGGATTCTACAAAATTAGATACAAACCATCAGTTAGTGAAAGAAAAAGGAAGACATTATAATAGTTTTTGCCAGGCTTGCACCTGATTTGGTAAGAAATCCCTTTTAATATAACGTCATTAGTAAATTGGAAAAAGAAAAATCCCCTGCACTTGAGAGACTGAATAAAAATAGATACATAATCATGAAAACATGGACAGGAATGAAATTAAACTCCACATCTTTCTTCGAAGAAATTGAAATCGCAGAACAGATTTAAAAAAATGTCATCCAGAGGGGGCCTGAGAATCACAAAGAACAGATTGAACTAACTAAAAGAGAAGGATACAGATGCATTCCTAGCATTTGCTGCAGAGCCAGGAGAACACAAGTTATGCTGTTCATCACCAGATTCAACTTGTTGGTTGAGAACTTCATCTTCAATCAGATCAAGTTTTGTGACAAGAACCGAAACATAGTGATGTACTCTTGAGAGGCTCATTTCAGGTTCTCGAATTCTAACCAATATCCTAGCAATTACATTCCAGAGCGCATTTCTTGCTTCCACATCATCCGAAGCAAAAGGGAATATGTCAAGCAGACCACCTAATAGGTTCAAATCTAGAAAACCCAATACCATTTACCATCATATTAAATAATCCAGAGACTCATGAAAGAATACATAGTGAATACATTGTTTACCCTGTGATATCCTCGAAGCATGATCCGGAACATCAGACAACATATTTGCAATGAGAACTACAGCAGTAACACAACAGTTCCCAACCTGCAGAAGAAATCACCAATTCACAAGATTTCAGTTAGCCAAATACTTTATTTCCTAGTCAAAACTTACAAGTTTGCTATTAGTCATAAAATGGTCTAGAAAATGTTATCAAATAATTAGAAAAGATAAAGAAAACTGAGAAGTTGTCAGACTCCTGCAGCTCTTAATCACAAAATCCATCAGTAAAAAAAGTTTGGATAGCTTGATTGAGTTGACTGCATTATATAACTCTCAGCTCAACTAAGTGTAGATTTATCTATATGGGGAAAAGGTCCTACATAACAAAATAGTAAAAGCCCCTTGTATTCAATTACGTTCAAAATGAGGCAGGAGTGAATCACAAGCAACAGTAAATTCAATTCTCACCCAAAATGAAATATTAACAAAATTTTCAATTTTTCATCAATAATATCCACTGATAGAGAAAAAGCTTCGTAGTTTAAAAATATAAAAGCCCGTTTTAAACATCTTGGCAGAAAGAAAAAGATATTATGTTGGAGAACTTGTTAGATATTTACATGAGTAAAGTGGATATAATTTTTCTGACTTTAGGTCATCAGATACCATAACATACCATATCCTTGATATCAAAAGTTAATGTTGTGAAATATGTATCAGTATTGAAAGTGTTAACAATAACAATGTACCTCAACTTTATCTGGGAACTTAACCAGATCACATATTAGTTGAAACAGCTCTGTACTAGAGCAAATTTCCTGAGAATGATCATCCAAAATAGAAAGTGCTTCAATTGCACGAAGAATTAAATCAAGAATAGAGTACCTGAAACATTAAGATTAGGTTTTATCATACCCATTCCAGCAGTTAGCTGAATGGAATAGTTATCTGCAAAATAAACGTGACAGTGAAACAAATTGCAAGACAATATATTCTACAGCCATTTGCCAGTGATACCAAAATTAAAATAAGAGGATAATAGGAACTGTAATTACATCATTGCAGAATGGAGGATTGTGAATCACAGTACCTTTCAGGTATTCTTTCACTCGTTAATTTGCTGATCTCAAAAGTCAAGAGACTGATTAAGATATTTGCCAAACCAAGCTTCATCATAGGTGGAAGGAGAGCATCCATAACTTTCTGTTGACTTTCTAATATAACTAAAATAAGCCCGATGACCTTTTAAAAAGTAGGATGATGTTAGTAATTGAACAGATAAAGTTTGCATTTGGTGAAAATAAAAGAGAAAAAATACATTATTTTCCTCTGAAATTATTTAAGTTTCTAGTGCATATATTCAATGACAAGCGTTTGACAAAGTCTCACGACTTCACAAATTGTAACCTCCATAAAAAAATAAAAAAATTGAAACTACCCTGGATTGGCACCAAGTGTTGATCACCTTTTCTAAAAGTTGATGGTTCAACGTATTTTCTGCAATCCATAAGATTTGGCAGAGTACATGTTCAGACTGCAATGCCTCACCCCATGTAATACATTCACGACTTTGAAGACCTGCAGTCAATAATCTGTTCCAAAAATTAAATGTCAAAGGTTTGTATTTTGTAAAATAAAGGCACTAGCGTCAAAAAGTAGTGTGGTATTTGATTTACAGCATAACACAAATAACATTCTTGAGATAAATAAATAAAAAGTATGTCGTTCTTCTATCCATCTATTTCGGTGGGTAAATCAATGTGTCTTTTTTCTTACTCAGAGACACACACTCTAATGTAGGAAATTTATTCAATAAGACAATAGTACAAATAAGGAGGATGAAGCATCCTCTAGAAAAACAAAATGAGAAAAATTATAGCCAATGTGATTGAATCATGTAGGAATACACACCAATCTTTTTGGAAACAACATGAACTTAACACCAGAGGTTCTCCAAAAATAACCTTTTCCAAAAGAAGTCTACTGTAAAAGAAATTGACATTTAAAATTCTGGCTATAAATAGAAAAGATTCACTGAGATTATACTGCAAAATATTAGCCTCTTCCAGCGAGCCAATGTCAAGTGAAAAGTACCGATGAAAATTCTTAGCAGAGAAGGAATAATGAAAATCAAATAAAGAAGGGAAAAATTAATGAAATGGATACAATACACAAATAATAAATAGATATGCTTGGAACAAATACATGTTATTTCTTTTGAAAGAAAAGACAAAGGAATATTTATACTGGCAGAGTTCCTCCTTTGCAATGAATTTATGCATTATGGAAACAGAAAATGAAAATAGCAGGAATGACAAGAAGGCATACAATAGAAATATAATAACTAATCATGTTAATTTGGTACTTAAGAAAAAGGAAGGGAACTGAATATATCTCAATTCCGAAATTGACAAGAAATATGGGTGTAAAAAATCTGTCATACCGGCATGTTTCATATAGGCATTGAGGATCATCCATAAACAATTTGTCAATTATTATCTCCATCAGTCCTTTTGTTGAGATTATATGCTTCATTGGAACTTCATGACAGGCAAGGTTCCCAATAATTCCTATACTAATTTCCTACACCACGAAATCAATCCATACAAATGTGATAAGAGCTTCTTAATCAATTGATAGTTTTATGCAATCTGAATAGCATTGACTTACTGTTACACGCGCGGATTTGCAGACTAACAGATTACCCAAAAGAACTTCAAGTATGAGATTGTCCACCTGCAGTGTTACACCAAGTAAACATTTCGTCTCCATCTATAAAAGAGTTGAGTGGCTGAAACTTGAAAGACAGCAAACTAAATTTAGATCTCCAGTAAATGAGAGAAAGTCTTAACAATCACTGTAACATTAATGATCATGAGCTTGGTGGTACATGGATAAATTGGGCAGGGTTGGAAAACATACATTAGAGAACATTCAAATTATCAGTCACTGTACTATTACAACAATTATATGAGGGAAATTTGAGACTTATGGCCAAGCTGCATAAGAAAAGATTTTCTATTTCTGCACATAATAACAAAAAGCCACTTAGTGTTCCTCCATTTCCTGTTTTCCTTTTTCTGTTTCCACCACAACTTCTTTTTTAAAGGAAAAAATATAAAACAAGGCGACTTTCTTATTTGTTCAAATAAGAAATGAAAACCAAAAAATGTTATATCAAACCAAATCGAAGAAAAGGTTCTGTGGGACCTGGACCAAATTATGGCTGCACAGTACATCGAACTCAACCTACTAATTATTTGAGAGTGGAAGGTAGTGGCAACAATCTCGCCCAGGCTTGGAGATATTTTGAAATGAAGTAGTACACGATAATAAGAAAGAAACTCGAATAAAGAAAAAACCAAACCAGCACTGCTATACCATCAGTTCCGCATGTGTTTTACTGGCAGCTAAATCCCACAAAACACAACCGTATTCCTCCCAGGCACTCTCCCATACCGAGACATCAGTACCCTCACATTCCCCACGCAAAAATTCAGCAGAAACATCAACATCCATATTCTCAGATTTGCTCCTAGAGGATTTAACGTTTTCATCGTTTGAAACAGACACAGAGGGCGCATCCTCTTCTTCTTCTTCTCCTCCTCGATTAGGGTTTTCAGAAGCACCTTCCCTAAAGGTACTCCGAGAAGCAGAATCCAACGGAAGAAGCTTTCTTATCAAGGAGATTATGTAACTCGGATCAACTGTCGTCGATAAATCAAAAAACTGCATCAGGAGGAGTAGTCATTCAAAGCAATCACTGAATAACATTTGAAGAAAAAAAAATATAGCAAGCATATCTTTCAGCGTGTAACTTAAACAGAAGAGAACCTCGTGTGACGGAGCAGAAGGGTGGTGCGTTGGACTACCGTCTTCTACTTCTTCTTCTGCAGTTATTGGATCTGCCGGAACCGCCATGTGCTGCTCGGACTTTGCTTGTTCCCTCCAATTTTAAATTTTTATCAAAAATATCGATTGTGTGCCTTCAATCTGAAAAAAGAGTTAGCGAAAGGTATTTCTTGTTTTTTTGTTTTTCTTTTACTAAACTCCTTGCGTATAGCATGGGCCAATAGGCCTGTGTTAAGGCCCCGCCCAAAAGTCACTATTAATGGGTCCAAGCTAAACTAGAAAAGTCTGTCGCTCTCACTGCCAAGTGTCAATTACACCAATCACATAAATATGAATCTATCCCGATTTATAATTTTCACACATACAATTTTTTTATTATTATTCAGTCATTTTCCACTCAATTATTATTCGATTTACCCAAATATCTTTATTACCTTTTTAAGAATACAATAATACTATTCAAAAAATACCTATTACCTTTCCTTATTTACAAAAATATTATTCAAATTATTTATAAAAATGTCACTCTTTAATATTATTACTATTACTATTTCTAGTACTATTAATAATATTATTATTACTACTACTAATATTATTATTACTAATATTATTATTACCATTATAATTATAATATTATTATTATTAATATTATTATTAATATCCTTTTTATTACTATTATAATTATTATTATTATTATTGTTATAATTACACTGTAATTATTATTAAGAATAATATTATAATTATAAGAATAATTATTATTGTGGTTATTTTTATGATTATAATAATAATGATTATTATTATTATGAATATTATTATTATTGTTATACTAATTATTTTTAATATTAATACTAATAATATTATTATAATTATAATTATTACTGTTATTATTATGTTATTATTATTATTAATTTTATTGTTATAGTAATTATTATTATTATTGCATTATTACTGCTATTATTAGTATTAATATTATTATAATGATAATATTATTAATATTTTAATTATTATTATAATAATATTATTATGGTTATTATTATTATTATTATTATTATTTATTGGTATTAGAATTAACATTAGCGTTATTGTTATTAGTATTGTTATTATTGGTATTATTAATTATATTAATAATAGCATTAGTATTAGTAATATTAGTATAAGCATGTGTATTTATTGTTATTATAATTATTATTGCTATTTGTATTATTAGTTTTAGTATGATTGTTATTATTTTTAAAAATGTTAGTGATAGAATTTTTAGCATTAGTATTATTGTTGGTGTCAACCTTAGTATTAGTGCTAGTATTTTTATTTGAATCAATACTGGCATTAGTATTAGTAGTATTGGTTTTAGTTGTATGAGTATTAGATGTTCTTTTTATTTACTATTATTTAGTATTATTTTTATTATTATTAATATTATTATTTTTATTGGTGTTATTATTAATAATAATATTAAAGATAGTATTATTAATATTATCGGTTCATTATTAATAGTACCAGTATTAATATTGATATTATTATCGTTGTTATTATTATTATTATTTGTGATGTTATTATTGTAATTATGATTATTAATATTAAAGATAGTATTATTAATATTATTGGTTTATTATTAATAGTATTAGTATTAATATTGATATTATTATTATTATTATATTTATTATTGTTGGTGTTAGTATTAGTATAATTTTAGCATTATTATTTGAATTAATATTAGTTTTAGTATTAGTAGTGTGAATATTAAAAGTTTTATTATTATTATTATTATTATTACATGTATTATTTTTATTATTACCAGTATTATTATTATTATTGGTGACATTATTATTATTTTTTTACTATTATTGTTTAGATTATTATAATTATTATTAGTATACTATTATATAGTATTATTATAATTAGTTTGATTGTTAGTATTAGTTTTAGTATTATTATTTGAATTGATGTTACTATTAGTCATAATAATATTAATATTAGTAGTATATGTAAAGACTTGAAAAATAGAGTGTTAAGAATGATATAGATTAAAATAATTTTACTTTAAAAATAGGTGAATTAAAATAATGATATAGATTATTTTACTTTAAAATAATCTTACAATATAAATTGAATTTTTATAAACACACTTCTCATTATTCTAATAACACTTTATCTCTCTAGAACTATATTCCTCAGAGTTCTCCGACTTCTCTCTATAATTCCTCGCCACTAAGTTATTTGTTCAACGATCAGGTGGTGCCTAAGCGATCCTGGCGTTGAGGACTTCGTTTTGGACCGATCAATTTCGTGTTCTTCAGTTGGTAAGTGGTTTCCACTGCTATACGTTTTATGTGGACTGTGAACATGCACTTTTTCAGCTTTGCATATGGTTAACAGTTCTTCCTTCCATTTGCTGTTCTAAGTGTTGTTCTCTATCACCAATTGGTGAGTTGTAGGTTTTTGTTGAGTTTCCTTGCAGTACAAGGTACGGTTGGAGCGTTTTTGTGTTTGGAGCTGTTTATCTCTGAGGTAAGGGGAGCTAGAAAATTTATCTCAATTGATTATATGATATGCGTGTATGATAAATTTTGAATTAGTATTCTGTTTTGTGTTCCTGGTTGTATCCTGAGTAATTAAATATTATGTACTGGAATGTGGAATGTATGAAACTGTAATGTGTTGTTGATGAACTGTTTTGGATGAATTCTAATTGTTGTAATTGAGTATGTTGGAGGTAGTTGATGTGAGTAATTTGTTGTGATAGTGATGAATTATGAAGTGAAGTAAATTGTGCTTGTTTTAAGTCAATTCATAGGAAGTGAGGTAGTGAATTTGAGTATTAGAGGTCAAGTGCTGTTAGAGGTTGTTGGGGTAGTTTAGACAGGTTATTTGTGACTTGTTTGAATCAACAAACTAGTTAAAATCAGGTTCAAAGTGGTCAATTAGGATCTGGATATCTAAGTTGATGAAATTGAGGTTTTAGAGTGGGATTTGATGCATAAATACTTTAGATGGAGGTTAGGAAAGTCTAGAATCACTTAATCAAGTCTAAATAAGTATATACAACGAATTAGGAGTGTTAGAAGTTGGGAAAGTTGAGTGGAATTGGTATGGAGTGGTTGACTTGCATAATTCTGCAGAATTTCGTTCTGCAGATTATGCAGACTCGCTGTGCGAATGGATTCGCATAGTGAGTCACCTTGGCGAGGTGCTATCTACCAAGGCACTCGCATAGCGAATGGATGCGCTGTGCGAGTAAAGTGAGAGGTTGCTCTCTGTTTGTAAATCTGCATAGCGAATCTAATCACTATGCGACTGGCTAGGTCTGGAACCATTGTTCTTTTTATTCGAACAATGAGTGGGTTTCGCTCTGCGAGTGTTTGGGAAGTTAAGTCTCTGTCTGAGGTTCTCACATAGCAAGTTGGGACGCTATGCGAGGGGTTGGGGTCTGATGCATTTTACAGTTTATTCGCATAGGGAGTTTAGTCGCTATGCGAAAAATCAATAGTAGTTGGTCTCTGTCTAAGGTTTTCGCAAGGCGAGTTAGGTCGTTGTGCGAGAAGCTTATAGTCTCGCTATGCGAAGGTGTGCGCTGTGCGAGAGGTGCATTTCTAGTCCAAGTTCTTGTGTGATATTATATTGTTTGTATATGAATCAATGAGGGGTGTATGAAGTAAAGTGAAGTTGTAACATGTAATATTTGTGGCTATTATTGTATGTTGTATTTCAAAGTATGGTTAATGGACGTAATTCCATGATCCTCAAGGAGAGGAGACATGGTGGTGCTCTATGTTGTGATTCAAAGTAAAATCTCTAGTTGAGATTCATGTAAGTTTAGAATGGATGTAGGAGCTTAGTCTTTGGGGTTATCCTGAAACTCCAATGGTCTTTCATTCTTAAGTAGAGAGGATCGATCCGTGTCGTGAAGAGTAGCAGGAGGTCCTAGTCTTGGGTGCTTCCAGTATGGCCCAAGGTGAGTGATAACGGACTAACCTCGTGAGTGTGGTAGGGTGAAACCCATGGGCAACAACTTTGCAAAGCAGTAGAAGCCACCACGAGCGCACGACCCGCCATAGCTCGACAATCATTCTAAGTTCGGACAGTCAAAGTCAGTGTGGTGTTATGTGTGAAAGATTTAAGTGATGTGAATGAATAATATGCTTGTATGAATTTAATTGATTTGATGTATGATTAATTCTGTTTTAAACTAGCTTACCCTCATGTATGCTTGTGTTTTGTATGATTCTGCTGTTTTCTTCTACGATGACCATCCCTTGGATGTGAGCAGCGGAAGAAGAGTTTTCCCTGGAGCAAGCTTTGGAGGGAGGTGATGCTGCTGAGTAGTTGCCTTAGTTCAGTATAATCTTGTGTATAGTTCTGTGTACAAAGTTTTAAATTTATAATTGTTTTTGGATGACTGTAAAGATATCACTTTATGCTTTAGATGGATAAGTGTAGTACTTTATCATGCATGTTGCTTCTCTTTAATGTAGTTTACACTATATATTTTGGGATGTTATATTATAAGGATTAAAAGTTTGTTTTACTATTATTTTTGGTATTATTTTTATTATTATTAGTATTAATATTATTAGAAAGACGTAATAATTTTTGTGTTGTTATTATCGGTATAATCAAATATTAGAAGTTGGCATTAGGAATAATACCAACAAAACAGAAGTTAAAACATTCATTTAATATGTCTAGTTCAAAATTTTAGTCATATTACTGCAAGTTATTAATAAATTATTATATTAATATTATATTTTAAAATAAACAAATTTTACATTTAGATGTTATATTTTACTCTCGATATTTATCATTGAAAAACAACCTTACATGTAATTATACATTTTAATATATCTTTATGTGTTTATATTTATATGTGTTTCTACTTGTAAATTTTAATATTAAGTTATTCTATTTATTTTAGATTGAACCATATTTCAAAACATACGTATATTTTACTTTAACAAAAATCTATACACACGCAATTTTATTTTAATATAATATATAATTAAAAGCTTTAATTATACAACTATATCATTTTATTACAAATCAATAAATAATTATTATGTTAATTTTATAATTTAATACAATTAAATTCATATTCAAATATTATTTTTTAATCTCATCATTATTATTATTATTAATACTGGTATTATAATTATTTTTATTTTGAATAGTAGTGTTATTATTTTATT